CGGCGGGGGGGACGGGACGGCCCACCTGGGTGCCAGGAAGGGGGGCAAAAATGGGTTCCCTCCCTAGCACCTTGTCCCCGCGCCCCGCAGGCGGGAGGGGACAGCAGACTTGGGTCTGTAGCGGGGCTTCCAGCGTTCAGTGCCGCTCTTCAGCTGAGCGGGCTGGGACGTCTGGGACTTAAGTGGGCTGTTGTTGTTTTTTGGTTTTTTTTTTTTTTTCTTTTTTAGAGATCTTGCAGGGGCAGACACGATGAATTCTTCTAGGAGAACAGCGCTGTAGCGGCATTGCTGCTTCTTGTAATTGCCCACTTTTCCTTGCTGATATGTCTAGTTGTCTGTCTGTATACATAGTATTAGTACCTACAGCGACCGAGGGCGGGCGTCAGTGTTTGTATGTGGATTTGAAGAGTCAGATTCCTTAGTGAACTTTCACAGACTAAATACACTCGTAGTAGAGCCTTGAAGTTAGCTGTCTGCATGCCTAAGATTTTTCCATACGAACGGGGTAGATACCTGCTGCTTTTCAAATAACCTTAATTGCGATTCAGAAACGGATTTGTGTTGTAGTTAGCATCTGCGTTTTCAGAGGTTTCCTTGCAAAGCCACAGCTTAGCTGCCTACGTTACTTTGTGATCATAGCAGACCTGAAAGGCTGTGTGCTTTTGTAAGCTCACCTAGGGCTGTATCTGCATGATTTTTTTGTTATGACGATGTATTTAGGAGATCATTAAAATACAGAATCAGCTTAGTTCAGTTTCTTGTAAATGTACCAGGAGAAATAGGTAATTTTTAATATACTCAGATGTGTAAATCATGTAGTCTCATGATCTGGGTATAGGTGTCATGCCTCTTTCCTAATTATTTTCTTTTGTTTTGGTCCCTGTGACTGTGAAACAGACCAGAATTGGTGCAAATCCTAAAATTTCTCTTCCTTAATTTGGTGGTTGTATTTTGAGAATAAATTTTACATGTGTGAATAAGGTATCTGTTGTAAGACTCTTAACCTTTCAGGAATGAACTTATGGTTAGTTAAGCCAGGTTAATTATTAATCTAATTTCTTAACGTAGAAATGCTGGGATTTATAGTTGAACATCATCATGTCTTATAGTTTAAGGGAGTGATGTATGCTTGTGAACTCAAATTTAAGTTGTTAAATAAAACAGACTGGCTTCATTAACATACTAGAGTTCAGAGAAACAAGCCCACTTTTCCGTACATACGAGATCTATGGCTGGGTCTTACTGGAGGCATCCATGGCCCACTTTTTTTCAAAGATTAATTTTCCAAAACAGGTCAAGCCTTTCCACAAAACAGAAACGCCCTTGGGGATGGAAACTACCTGTGCTCAACATAGAAGGCCAGTTGCCAAGTGAAGTTGTTGGTTTATCTTGCGCTAATTTTATTTCTGAGCAGGTATTTCCTTTAGTGTATAACTTCCTTTAGGAGCAGAAAAACAGGAAAGAAACTGGTAATGAGGGCTGCGTTGTGACCAAACATGTTGTTCGCATGGAGCCTGACACTTCTCCTCTCTAGCTTCTGCGTAGTCTCAGAAAGCTCACCTACTTCAAAGTTGTAACTCGCCTCCCAAGTGTAATATGCATGGAAAATAGCAGTAGTTTCCAAGTGAATAGTAACTTTCAAGGTGATAACATTGTAGGAATAAGTCGGTCCTTGTTTTGTGAAATTTCATGTTGTTGCCTTATTAGAATCTCCTTGATGTCCTCGGGTTTCTGGACTGCAGTGCTATCAAAGGCACCTTTGATGGCTTTAGAAGAGAGGAAAACTTCCAAGACTGGAACTGCTTCATCAATTACCTATTTCTTTTTTTGCTGCCAAGGATGCAAATTTGATACATTACTCAAGAATCTAGACCTTCCAACTCCTTTTTCTTCTCTCTTTCCTATCTTTGAGATCTGTTGGCTAGGTGTATGGATTTACATAATTGATTTTAATCATTTTCAGTACTTGTATTCCCCTTTGCTATTAGCTGGTGTAATCATTTTGAAACACGTTGATTTGTAACTCGGCATATCCTTAATGGCAACTAAGTATTAAAGTGCCTGAGCTTCATACTTTCATTGCTAGCTGGGAGAGTTGCTATCTCTACACACGTGAATGCTTGTGTAGTTTGGCTTACGGTTGTTCACTTCTTAATTCTGACATTTTATTATGTTAAAAATAGTGAATGACTCATCTTTAGACATGTTTTTACTTGTGATTTGTATGAAGCTGCCCTTGGATGGAAATAGGAATTTGATTCAAAGTGCACAAAAGTAGTATTTAGAGCTTTTTTTTTTTTATTTATTAGTTAAAACCAGATTAAATAAGTTCAATGTCCAGGGAAATAAGTTCAGGTTGTGGTTTCTTTTCTTCTTCTTCCAAACATACAGGTTTATTGAAGTGTGAATTGTAGTTAGTGAAGTTAGAATTCAAGAGATATTTAGGTGGCTGAAGATGCAGATAGGAACCTGCGAGGGTTTCATAGATCTTTAAATGTGTCCCAGAATTTTATTGGAAGTTAGGCATCTAATCTGGCAGACTTCTTAATGGGATTTTCAGAAGAAATTATTTCTTCTCCTAATAGAAACATATCTAAAAAACCAAAAAAATTTGCATGCTTATATATGTGCTTTGCCCTTCTTATAATTTGGAAAAGATAAATTTTGTTTTGAATCAGTCCAGTTGAATTGGAAATAGTCAATGTACTTATTCCATGTTACACATTCAGGTATAGAGTTAGCGTTTCCATGTGTGTAGTGCAGTATGTATCTCTGTTTATCAATCTTTGCCTGACCTCAGAAGATAAACATTTCAAGGAAGGCAATTAATAGCCTGTCCCATAACTCATTAACATTTGATGACTAATTTTTGGAATGGCCTCATTCAGATTTGAAGTGCGTGAACAAGTGTTAAAAGCCACCTCATTAAAATTACTTGAGCTAAAAGGAATAATTACTTAAAACCAAATTCTCTTATCAACCTGTTACTTAATATCGCTCTCCAGCTTGATGGGGAGTTACTTTGGATCACCCAGTACTAATTTGGTTTACTTTGCAGTCTGGTACTGCCGTGGCCCTCAGCAGCTACCTGCCAGCCCTGTTTTAGATAGCTGAGTTCCAAGAAGTTACCCAGAACAGAACGGTTGTTCCAGTGACATCGTTGAAGGGGAAAGTCTTATTCGTAGGACTTGTCTTCAGGGATTGTTTTTGTTCTGTCAGTCTCAGTTCAGGATATTAAGCTAACTTCAGCTGTAGTTCTTTTCATCCATAAATCGGAAACGTTCACCGCTGTATAGTTAAGAGAACTAGAGGAGACTGTAGCGCATCTGTAGGCAACTTCTCAACTTTGTAGTTTTCCAGTTAGCTGAGCTCTGAGAGCTGTATGCCAAACCAAGCACAGCGCAGTGAGAGAGATGTTAGGTTGGGTCTAGGGAGAACTGAGCCTCTTGCAGTTCTCTGGCAAGGATGTGGCTTTTGACAAGCTGATTTGTACTTCAGTGCCTCAGTTTTTCAGCCTCTAAAGCCAAGAGAGTATCATCTCCTTTAAAATTGTCTTGAACAATTCAGAAAGTTGTGAGAGAGGTAGGTAGTCTTGGATGACTCTCCAGGCACAAAGTGATGTTCCTACACCACTTATCCTAACATATTGAAGAGATTGACTTCTCTTGGGCAAATGACAATATAAATTACAGTAATTTTAGACCAGAAATTCAGTGATTCTTGATGTATTTATTGTTCCCCTGAGGAGTATTTAGTATGGTTCCACTACAAGGGAGTGGGATACGACTCCTGACTCTGTGACAAATACAAAATTTTGTTCTTGAGCACGTGGTTGTCATTGGCAGCAAAACACCATATGGATGTGGAAAACGGGAGTCATGTATGTAGTGTGTTCCTACCATGTGCACCTCCCCAGAGCACATCACGGAAACGAGATGGTTTCAGATCAGCTGTGAACCAAGGACTCCAGCTTTGTAAACTTACAGTTCAGAGGTGGTTCACATCACATAAATGTTCTGCAACAAGACTCCTGTCATCTCCTCAATCTTTTCTGCTACTGAGGGTCATACTCAAATGTTCCAGCTATTTATAGTAATTAATTTCACAGTTTCAACTCGTCTTCTTTTGGACAGGTCTGCTTTTTCAGTTATCGACTGTCAGCCACATGCTGCCAAAAATATCTTTCATCTCGCTAGCAGGTATATATCAATTTCTTCATGGCATCCTTGACTGGTTCTGTTACCTAATGACTAAACCAGTGCATATTAGTTTTGCTCTTTTGTTCCTGTTTGTGAAGATTTGTACTGGTAAAAATTACATCAGAATAGGAAGTTATGATATCAGTGGTTTCTTTTGCTACAGCTTAGTACTACTGATGCTCTGCCCAAACAGAGCTTAATCCATGGGCTTGTATTGTTCTTGAAACTTTACTCTGAAGCCAGGAAAAACAATGCTGTGGAGAGACGCGGGATACCAGCAGAGCCACAAGCTATTTATTTCTGTGGGCCTAACGCACTTAGGAAGACTGCGTCTCTCTGTAGCCATTTAAAGTTCAGTGCAAAATCTGTCAGTGGATTAGGTTGCATGTTAAGCTGTTATCAGATAACCAGGATAGTGGCCAGTGATGCAGAGATAGGATGCATACTAACTTGGTGAAAAGAAGCTGTGACTTGAAGCAGAAGGTTGTTGCTTTTGATGAGCAGTATATTTGTATATCCTTGATGTACTTGTGCTTTAGTGACTTCAGCGGTTAACTGCACCTGAAATTTGACGGTCTAAAAGTCAAGACTTAGGCTAATAGCTGTTGTTTGTTGTTGTTGTAGCAGACAGTTTCTCCTTCTTCCTCCTTCAAATACTAACACTTTTTCTACTTTTCTTAATTAACTGGCTTCACCTGAACAGTGAACATTGGATTTGACTATTTTGACTGTTTTCCAGTTAAGCAACTGGTGAAAACTAAGAGTTTGAGATTATCGTATGTGTATATTTCTTCACTGAAAAAGATCAGTGACACTAAATCAGTAGTAATTAAAGTGGCATTAATTAAGCATATCTGTTTCAAGTCAGTGAATGTTAAAAGACAGCTGTCTTTGAATTGTATTACAGGCAGGGCTTTGTTGAAGTAGCAGATCCTTGGTTTGGCTGGCAGGTATTTCTACAGCCTTCATCTTACACTAAGTCATGTATTTTTGTACAGAATTTAAAGTATGTCTTTTCAAGTAAGGTATTTCTGCATTCACCATTCATCATCAACTATAGTGATAGTGATGTCTTAAGACATTAGACAAACATGTCCCTGGTTATTCCTTATTTTTGGAACGCGAAAGAACAGTGCGAGATTAAATAAATCTGGAAGTATTTGATAGATGTGGTACTCTGGTGTCAGTGATTTTACTGTAACAACTACCTCATTCTTAATTATGCTTCTGTGTTCACATGGAAGATAAGATAAAACCTGAGCCCATTTCTAAGAGGACGAAAAATGTCCAAACAAGAAAACAGGCTTTGGTAGCCTGTGGTCATTGCTTTATAACCACTCTAAGTGTTTTGGCCCTGGCTATTCCAGCATGGCTTTGCTCCTATTATCTTCTTTTTCTTTTCTCCTGTCTGCAGCAGTCATGCTTCCTTGGCTGTATGGAAATGACTTGGGAGGAAAAAAATGGAATGTGAAATGCTAACAGGCGAAGCCCTTCTGCACAGAGAAGATGAATTAAACAAGCATTGGGAATATAAGTTGTTAGGTTTTCTTAATACTTAGCTCCAGTTCTGCTTGTTCTCCAGCAGAATGCTAAAGGTGAAGTAAATGGGTTGATGATGATGATGTTGAGAGTTCAGTTGGAAAATGATGGAATGTTGAAGAAACTGCCTTTATATTTTTAGTAGCCTGGTACTTACAAGCTTTAAGTAGACAAAAACACAGAAGCAGAAAAAGTAGCTGTTTAATACAGAAACAAAAAAACTGTGGCGCTCTTATCAATGGTTGAAGGAAATGCACGCGTGTACTCAGTGAGAAAACTGAGTAATTCTCGGAAGAGGAATAAAGTCTTACTGAACCTTGTTTTAACTCTCCAGCCTTAGAAGCTGTGTTGATGAAATAAATCACCTTAATTCATGAGTCTAGGTCTTGATGAGAATTAATGTACAAACTCTTCTGCTTTTAATTTCTCTTTGATACTTCTGTTGTTTAACTTTTTCTCAACAAGAGTTTCTGTGGAAGTAATTAAGTACTAATTTAGAAATAAGTTTGTTACACAATTACTTTTAAGGGGTGATTATGAAAGGTTTTTGAAAAAGTGCTGATGTGTAAATTAATTTTATTTTCCTGCTTTCAGTCACTCAAGTGCAGCCACTGATCACGAGATGTTACCACGAAATCTACCTCAGACTTCGCTTTCGCTCATTCATTTACTGCATCATAGATCTCAACAGGAGCTCTGCAGACACTCTTGAAAGTCTCTGAACAGATTGTGACATCAAGTCAAAGCATGATGACCTAGTAGTAGGTCAAAGTCTGAAGCGTTGATTCAGCAGTCCAAGATAACACTGCCTTTTTTTATCAGTATCACTTCTGAAGGCTACGGACCTCCTGCTGTTTTCTTCCCTGGTTACTTCAGAAACATTCAACTGACCTTTCTCTGGCGAAAAGATCTTGACTTTTCTCTCTGGTCCTGGAAATATTAATGGAATACAGTCATGTCTACCCAGGACGAGAGGCAGATAAATACTGAATATGCTGTATCCTTGCTGGAGCAGTTAAAATTCTTCTATGAACAGCAGTTGCTAACTGACATAGTGTTGATTGTTGAGGGCACTGAATTTCCCTGCCATAAGATGGTTCTTGCAACGTGCAGCTCGTATTTCAGGTGAGTATTCAAAGCAGAATCTGTTAATTCTAGAAAATCTGATACCTGTTTTTTCTGAATCATTAGGAAATTTCTTATTCTTCATACTTAATCTTTAATATTTTTCTATTTCCCAAGGTGGGTTAACAAAGGCTTATTGAGACTTGGCTATGGGAGTTCCATTGTCATGTTTATTAGCTGTTGTTTCTCAGCAGAAGCCTCTGCTGAAAGTAGGGATTGCTGTGCAAGTTCATGGCTTCGTTTTCTGAATAATTTGGTTTTCTCTGCTCAGAAAAGAGGCCAGAAACTCTTCTCTTGCCTGTGAGTCTTGCTGCAATGCAACAGTTTTTGTGTGGGTGGTTTGTTTTTGTTTTGGCTTCTCCCCCCCCCCCAGATGCTTTTGCAATTTCAATTCAGTAGCTCCTGCTTCCCAGGTGTCCTGTTTCCTTGTCTTTTTAAAAGTTTTTATTAATAAGATATGTCAGGTGCTACTACTTTTTGCAGATACCTTCACAGTAAGGCCTAGAGGATGAGGCATTGTGAATTTTCTGCAGTGATTAATCATTTTTTGTTGACAACACAGTGTAATTACTCTGCCTGTCTGGAAGGACTTTTGAAGCTTGAAAATCGTCTTGGTGACATACATGCATGTTTTACCTTCCTGATGCGCTGTGGAGGGATTATAACTCTTCCATTTAACTGGGGGAAGGTTTGCAAATCCTGTTTTCTCATTGAGATGGGCTCACTGTACAGGACATTTCTAAAACATTTTTTTGTGTTTTGCCTGCTTTCTTGTACAGAACGTAGAGAATAACTTCTAATGCAGGGAACTATCTGAGGATTACTTTATTACTTTGACATTGGTTTTTGTTGCTGGTGGGGTTTGTGTTAACTTTTTTCATCTGAGTCTGGTATGATTTTTAGCAACAAGTAATTGTGTGATCACTAGATAATGATCATTGCCGTTGGCCTTCTGCAGATGACATAGTTCCAACAGTCTATAAAATAACAGCCACTGGAAATGCGGCCAGATTTAATGTGGGTGGCTAATCATAAGGTTGGAAAGCTGTCACGAGTCCACGCAGTGTGCTGCATTAGAATATGCAGTCAGATCTCTTATTCGTGTGTGTTTGTTTATTATTTATGGAATGAGGTTTTGGCACTGGTTAAAAGAAGTATCAAGCTTGTGGTTTTGTCATGTTCTGTTTTTCTTCTCTGCTTTGGTTTACAAAAAGATGCTCAGCTTCCTAATTTAGCTTTATTATGAAAAATTGATAGCCCTGAAGGAGGCCATGGGGAGAGGGGGAAGGACAGAAAAGCATCTCTAGGCATGATCCAGCTGCGGTGTACGACTGCAGCTGGCTTACCTTCCATCTTTGTGCTTGAACGCTGTGCAGCAGCAGCATGGCTCCAGCCCAGGCCACTGGGCAGCGCCTAAGAGTGCACTAGGGCCAGATTCTCTAGTAGCTACCTCTTCCTTTCTGTCAAGAGGAGCCTCTGCTGGCGCTTGTACGGTCCTGCTTCCCTCTCAAAGCTGCGTGGCAAGCAGATACTCACTTGGCCAGGCAGCGATCCCTCTGAAGATGCAAGTCGCCCTGAGTTAAGGCGCTTTGAAGAAGAGAGGGAGATGGTGATGGGACACTGTCTTTGTATTAGATGCTTCTTGGAGTGGCTTTGCTGAGGGAGGGTATCTCTGCATCCCCTTTGCCTCTCCAGCAACAGGCAGGACTGCAGGGTGCATGCACCGTTCCTTCTAACTTATCTCATGTTTGGTTTCCTAAGAAGCCCCAGATAAATACAAAGACCCTTGAGCTGAATTTTCGATACAACCATAAATACGAAACCCGAATTAATATAAAGCTCTTAAAATCAGTGTTTCCCATTAAATTGCCTTTCTACTTTTTCAGGAAGATGCAACGGAAATACTGATGTCAGGTTTTTTTGGTTGGTTGGTTTGTTTTTTCCCCAAACTGAATCTGATAGTGTTTTCTCTGTAAACTTGAAGTTTACTGTGTATTGTTATGAATGATATGTAAGAAATACTTCATGGAGTGCTAGTGCTTGCTCCTTTTTCTGAGCTAATTTTCTCCTCTTCCCAGAGGAGCATGCTTTTTGATATGAGTTAGCTCAGTCCATTGCATAAATCTGCTGTGTTTGTTTTATGATCTAAAATCTGTGTATGTTTCAACAGTATTTTCTGGAGGATGTTTCTTCCCTCTTATCATCCCCTGACATAGAGAAGGTTTTAAATTTTATCATTAAAACTAAAATCGTTAGAGTTCTCTGCTGATAAAGACAAAAGAGTTTGCGTAACTGTAAAATATTTCTACAGAAGGCACTGATGGTACCTTTCGAACATTCTCTACGAGTGCTTTATCTTAAATACTAGATGGTAGCCCAAGGCAAATGCTAAATAAATAGGCAACTAAAAAGACTGTTCACCTTTTGGAGTGTAATCACTGAAGGCTTACAGGTGATAAATGACTTTAAGATTGCTGTACTTATGTTGGTCCTTGTCTTAATATGTTTATTTCTCTTCAGAGCCATGTTCATGAGCGGGCTAAGTGAAAGTAAACAAACACACGTACACCTGAGAAATGTGGATGCAGCCACTTTGCAAATTATCATCACTTACGCATACACGGGTAACTTGGCAATAAGCGACAGCACAGTAGAACAGCTTTATGAAACTGCCTGCTTCTTACAGGTAGGAGTGTTTTATTTGGAGTATGAAATAACTGCTTCTAATCTCTGAGCCATTTTTTTTTATCTGTCTTGTTAAATTGTCTTTTGTGTTTAGTCATTTCAAAATAGTCTTGCTTGGTTTGCTCAGTATAGGCAGTGGCTGCTTGCCAGGTATGTTTCATGTATCTGTCCCTCCTTGCCTTATGGACTCTATGGAGGGTGGAAGTAAAACAGGGCACTACCAATATTTAGATAATTAGTTTCTCAAGCAGACATAATCACGCGATGCCCTTGATCAGCATGAATCGGTGCAGTAAGTCACTGCTGTATTTTTGTGTGCATGTAGTATTCCAGACCAAACTCTGGTGTTCAGCACTAAATGCAGGTACCTTTACCTGCTGCTGGTACGTGAAGGAACAGATTGTGTGCAGTAAGGCTTGTTGTTTCTTCTTTGCGTTACAGGTAGACGATGTATTACAGCGGTGTAGAGAATACTTAATCAAAAAAATCAATGCGGAAAACTGTGTGCGTCTGTTAAGTTTTGCTGATCTCTTCAGCTGTGAAGAGCTGAAACAGAGTGCTAAAAGAATGGTAGAGCACAAGTTCACAGCTGTGTACCACCAGGAGGCTTTCATGCAACTGTCACATGATCTACTGATAGATATTTTAAGCAGTGACAATTTGAACGTGGAAAAGGAGGAGACAGTTCGTGAAGCTGCTATGTTATGGCTGGAGTACAACACGGAATCACGATCGCAGTATTTGTCCTCTGTTCTTAGCCAAATCCGAATCGATGCACTTTCAGAAGTAACGCAGAGAGCCTGGTTTCAAGGCTTACCGCCTAATGATAAATCAGTGGTGGTGCAAGGACTGTACAAGTCGATGCCCAAGTTTTTCAAGCCCAGGCTTGGTATGACAAAAGAGGAGATGATGATATTCATTGAAGCTGCTGCTGAAAACCCTGGTAGTCTTTATTCTTCTGTCTGTTACAGCCCCCAGGCAGAAAAAGTTTACAAACTCTGCAGCCCTCCCGCAGACTTGCATAAGGTTGGGACGCTCGTAACTCCCGATAACGACATCTATATAGCAGGCGGGCAAGTTCCTCTGAAAAACATGAAAACCAATCACAGTAAAAGCAGCAAACTCCAGGCTGCCTTCAGAACTGTGAATTGCTTTTACTGGTTTGATGCACAGCAAAACACTTGGTTTCCAAAGACACCGATGCTCTTTGTTCGTATAAAGCCATCCCTGGTCTGCTGTGAAGGGTACATCTATGCAATCGGAGGAGATAGCGTTGGCGGAGAACTCAACAGGAGAACTGTGGAGAGATACGATACCGAGAAAGACGAGTGGACCATGGTAAGCCCGCTGCCTTGCGCGTGGCAATGGAGCACCGCAGTAGCCGTTCACAACTGCATTTATGTCATGGCACACAACTTGATGTACTGTTACTTTCCCAGGTCGGATGCTTGGGTAGAAATGGCTATGCGACAAACAAGTAGATGTTTTGCTTCAGCTGCTGCTTTTGGTGATAAAATATTCTATATTGGAGGACTGCACATTGCCAGCAATTCTGGTATAAGACTCCCAAGCAGTACTGTAGATGGGTCTTCTGTAACTGTGGAAATCTACGATGTGAATAAGAACGAATGGAGAATGGCAGCCAATATCCCTGCCAAGCGGTATTCTGACCCATGCGTTAGAGCCGTCGTCATCTCTAATTCTTTATGTGTCTTTATACGAGAAACCCACATGAACGAGCGAGCAAAGTATGCCACCTACCAGTACGACCTGGAACTCGATCGCTGGTTTCTAAGACAGCATATATCGGAGCGTGTGCTGTGGGACCTGGGGAAGGACTTCCGGTGCACTGTAGGAAAGCTGTATCCGTCTTGCCTTGAAGAGTCCCCGTGGAAACCTCCAACGTATCTCTTCTCACCCGACGGAGCTGATGAATTTGAGCTGGATGGGGAGATGGTGACTTTACCACCTGTCTAGCTCCCCCGTTAGACTGTGCAACTGATTTTGTGCTCAGTTACCTTGGAATAAATGGTTGTGAAAGAGGTCTGGAAACAGAAGTGTCAGACCTGCCTTTCATGAGTTGTACTTTTATGCCCTACCTAACACCTGCCGCCGTTCAGTATGAATCAGTGAAAAGAGCAGATATGCTTCCATAATCTGAAATGCTATTATCTGATAATTGAGAAACATATATGTATATCATGAGCTTAAGCATCTGACTTGTCTAAAGGATTAATTTCTAGTTCTTACGAAGTCTTGGTTCAGGAAAATTAGCTTCAGACAAAAAAAAGTAGTTACTCTTTCTAGGATGATGTCACAACTCTCTTGAAAGTATCTTCCAGCTATATTTGAACTACTTCTGGATATTCTTCTTAAGTTCTAGTTCTATAATTGTCAGCGTGGCCCAATTAAAGGACTGTGCTGCACTTACCTAATACTAATATCCATGTTGGTATAGTAATGCCATTAAAAGAAAAAGAAACAAATCCCATGGATCTACCTGTGGTAGGAAGGGTAGATCTTCCATTGTATGGTAACATGCAGGGCAAAATGACTGCAGGTTCAGTCAAGCTGCATTATTAGGTGCATGTATTCTATTTTCACTAACTTATACCTGTCTGTTTAGAATACAGGTCTTCCAAGCAGCTGGTAGTTTACCAGGTGTGGACTTAAGTTGCTGGGCTTGCAATAGGAATTGTCAGCCCTCATAGTGCGGGTCTCTGTGGAGCTTTAATCAGTAAATGTCTCCACACTCTGTATTACAGTAACATTGGCTCATGTATATTAATTACTTCCTGCTGCTGATGTATTTTTCCATTGTAAAACAAAGTTTTAGTGTGGATTAACCAGGTCTTTATTTTCTGTTAATTTAATAACAAGCATTACTGTAGTGTGATTGTGTATAGATATCCCTTAGCTATCAG